ATAATGGGAACAAACATGAACAAAGCTCTATACCTGATAGAACGATAAACGTGCGATCGGGTACAGTAGTCCAAGTTTGAGACAGGATTGGATGAAGCTCGCCAGGGGCAAGGACCTACTTGGGTGCGGCACGGGTTCCAAAAGGGTAGGCTAGCGGGGGTCGATGCCGTGAGAGCCGCATCGCCATATTCTTCTGGACATTGCGCTGGAGACTAAGGCCTTTTCGCGAGTGGTTTTTGTTATGTACGTCCGGGGTTTGGATAGTCGGTAACGATGGGTTGCTAAGTTCCCGAGGCTGTGTGAAGTAGTTGTTAGATGCCTAGGTGGGTCTTAGCATTAAGATGAATATATAAGCCAGTGGGTATCATCGAAAAGGTGTCCAAAGTCTGGTATAGCCCTCTACCAGTTTCAAAAAGGTCGTAATATGAGAGTGTGCAACATATCCTCGGCAGGGGAAGCTCGGGCCAAGCCTCGCGGCTCGGCACCCGAGGATTACCCGGCGAGGTAGGGGTCTTAGCATGACCACACATTGCCTTGCTTCCCATAGTGGTTAGCTTCTGAGATTATTCCAAGGTTAGGTAGCTTATGCATACATCCGGCATCGATTGCAATGGCCGTCTTTGTGCTGAGTAATGTCAGCGAGGAAGAATTCGACAGCTCTACAGTGGTGATTGGGACCAACACTTTCTTTTTGCTTTCCTTAATCACACCTTCTTTTCAAGTCTGAAGATGTAGCGGTACAGCATACTGCGGTACGAAGTAGAGTGTCTGAGTTTTCCACTATTTATCACTTTAGTCACACTGCAGGATTGAATGTGGAATAGGGTTGTTTCTGTCGATTCCAACTCCATACGACGTTCCAATATCCACTTCTCTTGACAGTATTAGACTTGAGTGCACACCTCGCAATGCCATTCATTATGGTAATTCACAGCCCCGCAGTCCTTACAGATCCAGCCTTGATTTGACATGCTGTGGATCTTTGCTTCGGACTTTTGTTGAGTTCAATGCGGACTCGTTGCTGGAGGTAGGCTTGATGTGACAGTGGGGAAATGTATGTGTGCGTTTTGATTTACTATAACACAGTCAGCATTCGGGGTAATGGCAAGAGACTGCCTGGGTAGGGGCTAACTACGTAGCGTTTTGTAGAGTCGTTGTTCATGCGTCAGTAGCAGACGTCCTCGCGGGGCTTATATATCAAAACGTCTCCAGCATCGTTTGCTAGTCCTTCCCTGAAGAGCACATTCCAACCCGCGTAACTCGACTTCACGCTACGATCCTAATTTGTGACTTGGGGGATCGGACATAGACTAAATCCTCCCATGAATCACGTACCAGTAGTTCAAAACCTTACTCTGACTGCTTGAATACCTCATACCATCGTAGGTGATAAATAGATTCAACATGTATGATCCAAGCCTGGTATCGCTATAGTTCCCGTCTTCTCTCTAATATACCCCCCCTGGCTCGTCAGAACATCCTAGATTATAATGTCCACAGACGCGCGTCTAGCAGCTCTCGAGGCTCTCGCCCGTGAAAACCAAGAAAAGATCGAAGAACTAAACCACAAGAACTGGCTACTCAGTAACCAAAACATCAAGATGCAAGAAGAACTCGCCAAGTTGGAAGAAGATGTACGCAACGTATATCCGGACTTTGATACTAGGCGTACCAACCATTCAAACTTTCAGGCCAACCCATCGCCACCTCTTCATGATCCATCCGTCGCTAGGAATGTCTCTCACGCTCGCCCACAGCTACTTCAGCGTCCACCACCAGGACCGTCATGGACACCATTCTACATGACCGCCCGCGACGCCCCACGACTATATCTAGAGTTCGTGATACCAGGTTCCAAAGGCGAGACGTTGGAGATAGCTGTGAACAACGTAGATCTGGCCTTCATGTTACAGCAGACATTGCGACGGAGAGGGTGGGGCGAAGCGACGACGAGGAGGGGTGTCGAGGATTTCCTAGAGCAGCCGATGATGAAGGTAACGTGGACGGGCAGAGAGGGAGAATTTGGGAATCTGAGCTAGTCTCGCGAAGAGGTTGGTTTGTAATGTATCTTGATTTGAGAAGTTGTATTTATGAAGAAGGGGTATTTGGTATCTCAACGCCGACCCATGCATATTAGAATCCCGATGTTCAATCGTCTTTGTGCTTTTCGTCAAAAGCGAGCATGAGGCCCATGGCCCGCTCGTATGTCCACATTGTGACCGCACTGGCTGGCGCAGCTTTCAGAAGACTGACCGTCAACCCGCGGTACATGCCTCGTCGACCTTCATGCTTCCATATATGCGTAATGGTACTGATGACGCCGGTATATGTCGGTATGTTCCGATGAACGTATCGCTCGCGCATTGGTCCTTGGACTTGTAGTCGCTTGCGCGTAGTATCGAGCGGGTAGACGGCTGTTTTGGAGAGAACGCTCGCGATGACACCGGCGACGGCATCTGAGCTTCCGAGTGGCAGTGGTATGGGAGAAGAGGCGGTTATAGGCTTCAAGCTTTCGTAGCTAGCGAAGAAGAGGCCCATGTACGGCACAATCTGGCTCACGCCTGCGCCGAGACCGCGAAAGAAGCCTCTGGGTCCTTCATGCTGCGCGATGTGCTTGAGAGACGCGATGATGGAGGTATAGACGCGATCTTTTCCTTGCGCAGCAAAGCGCGTGCGAAGAAGATCGAGCGGGTATGTCGCCGTCGTCGCAGCAGCACCCGCACTAGCTCCGCTGAGGAAATTCGCGACTGAGCTGGGAAGCGTATATGGCGGCGGAATGGTCTCTAGCCAATGCGATATGTACGTGTAGGCAGAGAACTGGGCGCTACCGTACGTCAAGTACATGAGCTCCGCCGGTATGTTGCCCTTCCATAGCCCCGTGACACCCTCTTCGCGAAGAATCTGTTTGAGCGTGCCCAATGTTCCTTTGTAGACGGGCCCTTGAACGTTGCGAACGCTGAACGGGTCGGAGAGCGAGTGGATTTGGAGTTGTAGGCGGATCTTTATGACGTCGAGGGGAGCTATCACGAAGCTGTCGCAATGTCAGCCATGTGCGCGAACATGGGAGATTGAACATACCGCGACACCAGGCCTGCCGCCGCACCTGCGACGACAACTTGTCGCTGGGAGCCCTACCAGTCATATCAGCCCTGCCTCTGCCAGCATATCGTGTCGGTAAACGGTGAAGATAGACAAGCTCCTACCTCATGCTTCAGCTGTGCGACACCCTCAGACATGCGCCCAGCGCGTCGATTGAGACACGTGCTATGTTCGCGCGCGTAATTAGCTACCCACCGCCGATGCTCGGTAGGACACCTGTAATTGCAAACGTGCCGGGCAAAGGGTAGTAGAGACCTCGGTTTACGGGTTGATTGTTTCCACCACGCTCGCTCCCTGACGTTGAAAAGCAAGGAACCCCGCCGTGTCCCGTCACTGCCAACAGCTGCGGCCGACCATGTCTTTCACCATCACCACCAGAATACCGCTACGGAGTCTGAGATCGCAAGTCACCACTTCCCGCAGGACTACGCTTGCTGTTCAGAGACGGTGTTTCTTCTTCAACTCGTTCTGGCGATCACCTAAGCCGGCCGAGCATGCTGATTGGAGCCCCGCTACACATGGCCCTTTTCGGCCAACCAAGCGCCAGGAACAGCTGCAACAGCAACAGGAGCAAGAGCTGAGACAATCGAAAGAGCAGGAACTTCTCGTTCATGATGAATCCAACATTGGCCAGCTTGATGGTAGCCCAGCGAAGAGGATCGCTGTGAACATCGATGGCGAGCCCAAGATCTTCGACGCTGCGTTCCTTCGTGACAGCTGCACGTGTACGCGATGCATGGACCCTGACAGCAAGAACAAGCGCTTCCAGACTTCGGACATACCAGAAGATTTAGAGGGCAGCTGCAAGACGGTACTTGATGAAGAGAAGGGAGTCTCTATCGAGCTTCAATGGAAGACAGACGTCAAAGGCTTCGGTCCGGAGCACCGCACACGGCATTCCATCGACTGGCTACGCCGCGCATTCAACACAGAGATTGAGCTACGTGGCGGAGTGCGACACGATGACAGAGTGTTCTGGGACAAGAACAGGATCGTGAAAGACAACAAATGGCTCGACTACGACACCTACATGTCCCAAGATGAAACACTCTTCGAAGCCCTCACTCATTTGAACCGCTACGGCCTCCTCTTCATCAAAAACGTGCCCGAATCCGAAGAGTCTGTCGTAGCCCTCGCCTCCCGTATTGGTACCCTCAAAGACACTTTCTATGGCCGAACATGGGACGTCCGTTCGAAACCCAAAGCCGAAAACATAGCCTACACGCCCGACTACCTCGGTCTTCACATGGACTTGTTGTACACATCTAACCCACCGCATCTACAACTCCTGCACTCTCTCCGAGCCCGCACACCGGGTGGCGAATCCTTCTTCTCGGACTCCTTCGCTGCGGCACATCAACTCCGGCGACAATCCGAGGGCCACTTCAGAATGCTATGTACATTTCCCGTAACATACCACTACCACCACCCGACCTACCATTACCACTTCACCCGGCCAGTGATTGAAACCTTCGCCTATCCAAACTACAGCGATCCTGCCAACCTCGCCATCCGTCGCATAAACTGGTCCCCGCCTTTCCAGGGCCCCTTCGAAGCGCGAATTGGCAGCGGCAATTCCACGTCGCTTCGCTCCTTCATTGCTGCTTCGCACGCGTATGAGAAGCTTCTTAGTGCGGAGGAGAATTTGTATGAGTATAGGTTAAATGAGGGGGAGTGTGTCATCTTCGATAATAGGCGGGTGTTGCATGCTAGGAAGGCTTTCGATGCTACAAAGGGTGAGCGGTGGCTGAAGGGGGCGTACGTGGATGACGATGTTTTCTTTAGTAAGCTGAGGGTACTGGAAGAGAAGTTTGAGGGAAAATGGGTCGCTGAGGGTGTGGTTAGGCATGCCGTGAAATGAAGGTGGGGGTGTTCAGTAGTCTAGGTTGCGCAGTATGGATATGGCTGTGCTGAGGAACTTGGGTCTCTTATTGGATTCAGTCAATGGTCAGCATGCGTGGAAGATATCACCCATGCCCCTTGCGCTACTGTAAACATTCCAGTCTCGAAAGCTGCGAAGACGAACTTTGGGTAGCCTTTGGTTACCATCCGACTCCAATACATAGTCAGTATCAATACGGCGTCATGACGCGAAAAGAAATCTTCTTTGTGAATCCTCGGTAACCTGATCCTGAGCACGACCGACGATGCTTCCCACCACGATGCTCTGATCAATATTTAGCACGGGTGATTTCCAGGTCGACACCCTCGTCCAGACCGCTCTGTACCCGCTTTCCAATACTCATCACTGCCTGTTCCAATCTCGTCGGATCGAATTCCCCGCAACCCACATGAAGATGTACAGACCGCACTGCAGGAAAGACCTGCGACAAGGAATCAAGCCGGCACTCATGCAGATCCGCAACGAGGCTCTCAGCTTCTCTTAAATAGAACGTTAGGCGAACCGTGCGGATGAGCTGTCGTTCCGTTGCATCAAGCCCCAGCATGAGAGTGTAGTATGATTTGAGAAAATGGGGGAAGCAGAATGTGTTTAGCGAAAAGGGAAGGAGCTTTGCTTCGTCGTAGACCTTGCGGCAGACGCGCAGGAGAGCGAGGTCATTTCGATGCGTGTATGTGGCTTTGAAGGAATATACCCAAAGGGCGTACGTGCGTTGGCCGAGGACGTGTTCGTAGATGTGGTTTCTGATTTCTCCGGGTAGGCGCAAAAGTGGGGACTCGGCAGTGTTGCGCATGTATCTGTTGATGTTAGCTTGGCATGGTGAATGGCTCTTACACACTTGCGGTGCAGCGTTTCGGTACTTACATGAGCAAGCGTGCGTCGGTCGTGCGTTCCGTATCCGTCATTGTTGGCTACTCAGAGTGTCGAAGTAGTATAGCACGGGGAAAGACGTGGGGAGCACAAGGTAATTCACACAGCCAGGACTACTAAGAGAGAAGGCCAGGGTCTATTACGCTAGCCTCAAGTAGACCGCTCGCTCACCTGCCCCAGATGGCGCCCACGGTATTTCCCGAGCTAGAAACCAGGAAGCCACGCTGAAGTAACGAGCAAGTGTCCGCGCCTTGAGACCGCATCATCTGGACGTGTGCAACGAGATCAGTCTATGTCACTATCCAACATGCTAACTCAGCAACCCAACTACATCCTACTTCTTCTTCTTCTTATCCCCATCATCGACGGCCGTGATTTGCCTTACACGGCCCTGAACAGCTATAGCTTCCTAGGTACTATCACCACGGTTTTAGTCGTACGGTCCAAATAATTCTTGAGTGTTCTCACAAGCGCTCGGAACTCATCACACTGCTGTTTATTTGATATCAGTGGCTCCTCAACATAAACAGTTCGTAATCCGCGCAGCCCGCCCAGATAAAGAGAACCATAGATGATTTGAGACTCCCCACTCGAGTACCACGGCAGAGTATGTTCCCATGCGTTGAGCTGTACGGTCTGGATCTCGTCGAGCTGTGAGGGCGAGAGTCGCATTTTGAACGTCTGGAACTCGAGCAGAGTGTTGAAAGAGAAGACGTTCAGTGCGATATATGGTGACTTGGCAGTCTCATGGTAGGTTTGACTGCAAGCGAGTAGTAGACTGAGCGGATGTCCGTTGACGCGACCGTCGCCCTGGACTCTGTAAACACGGCCGCTTAGTACGTATCTAATTGAGGCCTAAGATGTTAGCATAGCTCATTTTTATTGTTATGGGCAGAGATCTGCGCACCCGTAGATCTGGTTGCGTAGCTCAGCTGGAAGACGCAGAAGGGGTGACGAGTCGGCGTTGCGCGAAGTACTGGAGGGGTCGGTCAGCTGGCAGACAGACAGACAAGACGGTGTTGTGTTACATGTCGGAGCCCCGACGTTCAGGTTTGGCCATTACAACGTTTCGAGTTTTCTTCGTAGTAACGAGAAGATGGGAAAAATCGGTAAAGGTGTTGAGCAAATCGAGGTCCCGTAACAGAGACAGCGTGGTCGAGGAGATGTGGTTAATGTATGGATTCGACTGAGGGAGGTGGTTGCACAGACTAACACCCGCTAGCGTTGTTTGAGTGGAGGGGAGAGCCCTGAGAACGAACCTGGAAGGTGCGACCAGACCGCGTCGCTTCTTCCAATCGCCAGTGAATCCAAGAAGTGTTTAGAGGGTAGTGCCTCGAGTTGTAGCTTGCGGTATACATACTATTGAACCTTAACCACTACACAATGACTAAGACAATGTACAGCCTACCCTAAGTATTCTTTGTAGAATGCGATTAATATTGATTGGCTTGGAACGTGGCTCTTCATTCGAGCAAGAACGGCTAGTTGTCTTGTCTTCGCGAGGTTTACTCCCATAGGCCGGCTTGAAGTGTATTCGGAACAGCTTATTATTGCTAGCTCCGAGAAAACCGAGTGGCAGAACGTTTGAGTCAATACAGCTCCATGCTTTCAGGTGTTGTACTATCGTGTGCTCTGCTCCTAGTTCCGCTACACATGCGCCGGAGAGACTGAAGCTTCTTAAAGGCGAGGCCCGTTCGCCCATCCCCACGGGGTGTATAAGGGGCTTGTCGCGTTTTGCTCGAGAAAATCTTTCCACTCTTCTTCGGCGCGGACCAGAGGCTCCATGTGTCTCCAAGAGCGAGGGTTACCGTCGAGGGATCTTCGGACACATCCTATCGCGTATCCCTGTTTTCGCATTGTCGACTTTGAGACACTACGCAATGCCACCCATACCTGTCTTGGGTTCCATCTTCAATCGCACAAGCACAACATATTGCGGGTCCGATTTGAGACTTTCAAGCTGCGGCCTGTTGTTTTTTCTTCTTTTTATACAAGACGGCTTTATGTCTCTTCTCCTCGAACCCAGCAGACTCCCCTCGGTGCCCTTCCATCCAACAATTCTGGCAATATAAATCACCGTCACAGCCCAGGCATTTCAGTGTCGCATCGTCTTGACAAATGATACACCATGTGTCAATCTCCCCATCGACCTGCTTTTGTAGATTCGTAGATACCGGCGGCTTATTTCTGGGTGCGAACGAAGGGGCGGAAGGCAGGCCGAGAGAATCTGTATGTGATGGTGAAGGTGCTGCTAGAGCGGCCAGGCGTGCGGTGAATGCATCTTCGATGGCTTGACTGCTCGCAAAGTCGTCTTCAGGGAGGGTATTCGGTGCGGAAGGCAGTGTGAAGCCGCCGTCTGTGGTATCTGCCGTTGATGCGTTCTTCTGGTCTCCTGATTCTGACTTGTCGTCTTCTGACGGGGGAGAGGGGGGAGAGGGGGGATCGTATTTCTTGCTAATTTCCAGTTCTGCTATAACTCTCGCAATCACATCATCTGCCTCGTCGTCCTCGGTTCTCTTCTTGCCATCTTCATCTTCCTCATCTCCACTTTCTGTGTCTTCCCTGGCTCCACCGACCTCCCCACTTCCAACATTGATTTCAATGCTCTCCCAGTCCGTCAACTCCTCCTTCGATGGCTGCTCAGATTTTGTACGCCCTCTCTGCGGCCCTTGTGCCCTAGTATTCACCACTTCCGGGAGTATCTTGCGCATGTCTTTCAACAGCTTTCCAACATCTTGTTGTTCCTCCTTGGATACATCCCAATCCTTCCGGTCGCCGACGGCGCCGTTTAGCTCACCCAGTAACTCTTCTAGGCTCTTTTCATCTTCCTCGTTAAACTCTACATTCGAGCCTCCTACGCCTTGGGCTATCCCTTCCAGGTAGCTCGGTGCCCCTGGTGCTGCGACGGGTGCGCCGGCATTGTTCGTGGACGTTGTACGCGACGGCTGTGGCGAGCCTGAGGGAGACGCGCTACCAAGACGTGCGAAGCGAGCGGCGAGGTCATCGGTGGGTTTGGGAGGACTCCTAGGTGCTATCGAAGCGCTGTAGTTGGTATCCAGGCTGACGGAGGATGTCTTGAGCGCGTTGAGGCGGGCAAGGAGGTCGTCGTCTGTTGAGCTAGGTTCGGGCATCTCTGGATGATGGGCGATCACTACGGTGATGTGTGGATAAGGACTGTGGATGTCTAAGTTATAGCGCCTACTGGACGCGGCTCATGACGCGGTGTCGCATGAAGCTCGAGGCTCGGGAGTGAGCGGAGTTGGCGCGACAGCTGTGGTGGAGCGCGGTGGGGGAGGGGCGAGCTATCCCTGACCGCGCTTCCTCCTCAACCAGACAACACGTGCGATCCAACAGCTGCATTATTAGATTACGAAGAAATACAGGCACATCTAGATGTATACTGCTTATTTCTTGCCGTCGGGTCGGCGCTGCTGGAGATGCCTGCCTGCGGCCCGTGTTCTCGCATGCGTGACATCCGGCCCCGCTTTCGTCATATCCATAGCTCCGATGGCATCCTCATATGTCAGCATTCGTGTTCTGGTACCATATCCATCTACTCCGAAGCTGCCGATTGTCACGCCATCTGTTCGTCTCCATCAAATATATAGCACAGCTCTGTATCAATTGAGCATCCACCTCTTCACCGGACCCCCAGCACAACCTTAGATCAACAATCGCCATGGCTCTCGCACCCAAATTCGCTGGCCAAAAGCTGGCCTCCAGTGCTATTCAGCCCAAGACCGTCCACACACTCGAGCTCTGTAAGTGTTTCATCCTCGACTGCTGGATTACAACTTCCCGACCCATCCCAAGGCCTCCATCAGACTAACAGTCAAATCCCAGACCTCGACTATGTGTGCCCCTTCTCGGCCAAGATGTTCAAAACAATCTACGAGACCCCTCTCCGCAAGACACTTCTCGAGAAATACTCCGACCGCGTCCAAACCATCTTCCGGCAACAAATCCAACCCTGGCACCCATCCTCCACCCTCGTCCACGAAGCCGCCTACGCCGTACAAAAGGTCGACAGTTCCAAATTCTGGGACTTTTCACAGAAGCTATTTGCCCAGCAGAAAGACTTCTTCGACGTAAGCCTGGTCAACGAGACGAGGAACGCGACGTACAAGCGACTAGCCAAAATCGCCGGGTCTGTGGGTGTCGATGAAGGCAAGGTTTATGGACTGTTGGAGATAAGCGACAAGCCTGGTGAGGACGGGGCGTTGAACTCAGGAAACGGGGTCACGGACGATGTTAAGGTGCAGGTGAAAGCGAATCGACTAACGGGTGTGCATGTCACTCCTACGGTTGTGTTTGATGGGGTTGTGAACAATGAGATTAGCAGTTCGTGGACGGCGGAGCAGTGGGAAGAGTGGCTGGAGAAGAACGTCAAGTGACTACATGACGGTAGTAGTAGGGCAGTTGCGCAAGGAAGGTTGTGAGTGACCCTAGATCCACAACCCCCCCAGGTTCGCTCTCTCACCCACACGACTCTCACCCGAGCCCTTCTACGGCTGCTAGTCTCTTGTATATAAGCCGGCCTTCGATACTCCTACATCCTCCACTCTTCTTCTTACTACCAATCTGAACATAATTCCCCCCAAGCAACACTTAACGGTGATCAACCATCCTCCCTTCTCACCTCCAAACCAAATCTGACCCATGGATCCATTCTTAACAACACCTACCGGCAATCCGGTCCCCGCGCCTACCATGTCGACCCCTCCAACAAAGTCGGAGGAGTACATACCCAACTTTTCCGAGCTCCCGGACCTCCACACAGTCATCTTAGCGGAAGACAAATATGATTACTTATTCCATGATTATAAGAACCCGTTAACATGGGCACGGGCCAATGATAGAGCCACTTCAACACGAAGTGAAGGAACCTTTGTAAGGGCTCGTACTGCCCGGTCACAGGCTCAAATGATCAAAGAAGGAGACGAGCTCATCCAACGTGTCGCACCGGAACCCACGCATCGTTTTGCCGTTTACACATGGAACTACGACGAGCAGGGCAATTTGAAACAGACACCGCACATCACAAAAGAAGAGCTAGAGGCGTGGAGGAAACTCGATCCGAAATGGAAGATTCGCCCCATTGACCCTGCAGGCATGCCGCCGCCAATGAAGAAGAAGCTCAACGTGAGCCATGATGGACAGCTCATGCCGGGATTCGACGACTACACGGTAGATGAGCGGAGGGAGGCGCTCAAGGCGACGGGGCCCGGTGCTTCTGCCATGAAAGACGTCCTATGGAGAATTGACCGGCGGGAGCGCGAGCGACTGGCGATAGAGTTGCAGCAATCTGAAGCTAAGGTGGAGGTCTTGCAGCAACGTCTCGCTGCCGCCGAGATCAAAAAAGAGAAGGAAAAAAAGGAGAAAGTGGCCTCGCAGATGGACGATGGGATTGCCCCAGGAAATAGGAGAAACGAACGTGTTGGCGTTGAGAACGAAGAAGAGAGAACTATCAACTTGAAGAGCATGGAGTAACCACGTGGCGATATGGTAGACCTGGAGAGTTGGAACAATGGGATGGAGGCTGAGTGTCACAACGGTCAGGTTCGTGGAGCAGAATAATAAGTACGTGGCTGAGCATATGGAGATCACCGCAACTGGAAGATAGGAATGTTCAGGTTGCATGGTTATGATGCGGGTTTCAAGTCAAAAAGTGATTTCAGAGTGCGATCTCATACTAGCATTAGTATAGGCACTACAAAAGTTTGATGAACGTACCTCAAATGACCATGACTTGATGTGATCTACTCGACGCTGTACCTACCCCCTTGAATCGCGTTGCTATTCTAGTATTATCTTTTTACACTCTGATCAAAAAGTAGATAGTGCGGCGCTGACAAGGCCCTGGTGAAGATACTTCTCGATCATGGGAATAAAGTCTAGGCATGGTCCTTCCGTACAGCGTCTGAAAATTCTAGGGGTCGGCCAGGAGGAGTAGTTCCTTGAATCTTATTCTTCCCAGGCTAGTGAATATGTTGTCTTACATCGATGGATGACATTTCAGTGAATAGGTGTTTTGCCTGTGCACGGAGCACTTCTTCTTGGTCACTGAGTCAAACCCTCCAGTGCCCTCCCCCGCTATTTACATCCCCATTCCCACCGCTAGGAACCGGTATAGTGTCCTTGAAGATCTCTTTATCTCTAATTCTCACCTTGTAGCGTAAAGTTGCAGTACGCAGGAATTGACTTCACTATTCGAGATCACTTGCTCGATAAGTGTACAAAAGGCCTCAACAGGTGGGGGATATCTTCCCGCTGAACTCAAGGCTTTATCAACAAGCCCAGCGATCAGTCTCAAGGCTAGCCGTCGCCGAGAGTATCACCAACAATATGTCGGACTACGATCGCATGTAAGTTTTCTCCGATTGCCATTTCTGGATCAAAGCTAACTCCAGACTAGCACCCAACTCAACCATGACAACTCGCCCCTTCTTCAACTCCCGGGGGAGCTTCGAAACCGCATCTACAAGTTCGTTCTGCACTATCACCTCCCCGTATACGTCGATATTCCCGCTCTGGAGGATGAGCACGGAAACTCTGTCCCTAGAGAAAACACACGGAGAATGCTAGCGCTTCTATATACATGTCGCCAAGTCCACAGCGAGGCCTCAATGATGTATTTCGCGCTCAACACATTCCAATTCGAGCTTGACACCTCGCTCATCGAATTCACTAGTAGTCTCACTGCGGAGCAACTTAGCGCGGTCAAGTCTATCGATATGACGGGAGAGCTTGTGGAAGAGATTGAGATGCGCGCCGAGCATCATGCGAGCGACAGCCCGCGATTGCACCTCGATACGCTGACCTCGCTGCAAAAGGTATCCATCTACCCTTACGCGTTCCACTCACCGCCAATAAATCTCGATGTCATTGGAGTTTATCTAAGGGAGGCGACTGGTAGGATGGGTCTGGAGGTCATAGAGGTCAAGAGGAAGTAGAAGCTGACATAGGCAAGTTGCAATCGTGTAAGGGATTTGATGAGAAGCCATATGACTGGGAAGCCCTGACCAAATAGTCATGCAGTGCTACTCTTCATGTAAATGAGCCTCTCCGCTATTGTAGGTAGCATGTAAACATCAAGACATATATGACTTCGTCAACCGCCATTACTCGACGTTCAATGATGCATCCATTGTTGTGAACGAACGTGTCTCTGATCTATGGTACAAGCATACAAACGAAACAGTACATCAAGCTGATGTATTTGGAAGTACAAGAAAGAAAAGTGAAATGAGTCTAAGTAGACTCTCCTAGTAGATACCCCAGGTAACTGCCTGGCCCTTGATGTTGCCGTTGCACTCCATGTGGCCTTCAGCTCCCACCTTGCCGCTGCCACCGAACTTCTCGATAGCGGTGTTGATGATGTCGATGACGTCCTGCCCGCCAACTACGAAGTTGACGTTACCGTTCGTCTTGGACGCTTCAACACCGAAAGAGCAGGAACCAGACCTGGCGATCTCGCGCTGGTTGTGCCCAATGACATCCGTGGTCCAGTCAGTCGAACCATCTCCTTGGATGTTGGTGATGATCTGGCGACAGTCGTCGACGCTGGGTGAAGCACCGCTCGTCTTGTCGTCAAAAGAGGAGTCCTTGCAGTCGTTTCGGCCTGGTGGTATGTCGCAGGGGTAGTGTGAGCTCGAGCCCTTATCGGCAGTGTCCCAGGATTGGAAAGCCCTGTCTGCACTGCAGACGGGTATGCGGATGAAGCCGGGCGTCGTTACGTCGATGTCAAGCAAGTTGTCCATTGTACCGTCATTGGTGGGATCTGCAACCTCTGCGCCGTTCTTGCGACCGTTCGAGGTCCAGGTCCTGACGGAGCCCTTGATGAGGTCCTCCTTGGTGATACCACCGAACGCGTCTTTCCCGTCCAAAGAGTCAAGGCCCTTGGGTGCTGAGAACTTCTGGACTCTGCATGTAGTTTGGCAAGGGCCCTTCTCCTGGGGCTCACACTTGCACACTCTAGCATCGCCGTCAGGACTGGCAATATAGTACATCTTGCCCTCGAAGCACATTCCAGTAGCTTTCATGGTGTCGTCATCCATGTATTTACCGATGTTGTCTCCATCGCAACCGTTACCGGAGTCGATGATGAAGGGGTAGGCCTTGGATACACTCC